GCTGCAAGGCTAGCATGGGCATGTCTAAAGTCGTGCCGCATGCTGGAATGATATTCTTAAGTGCTCAAAATATAGTCCCGGGCATGCTGAAATCATCATCACCTACGGAAAGTAAAGACAAGCCAATTAACACACTAAACATACAAGAGAAAACAACAGTAAGTAAATAATGGGTTGCCTCCCAAAAGCGCCTTTTTTTTAACGTTTTTGGCTAGACATTATTAATTGAGAATTTAGGATGAAGGTCCCTCAAGAGCCATCCAAACAAACTTCTTCTCCATCCTTGAACGGGTCATTCCACCCGTAATACTTTGTATCGCTTTTCAACTCGTTCATCTTGGCTTTCATCATTGTGGATGAAATGGTCACTGGTAGCATCTCACCGTCTCTCAAATGAGCATATTTCAAGTGATTCAAAAAATGCTTAATTTTCAACTCCCGTGGCTGCACAATTGAAGGCAATAATCGTGTATTAGTCTAGGGAAACAATAAATGAGCATGGGCATACCTGTGCGAAATCACTTCTAGAGCCTCCTTGCCTTTTACCTCCAAAGCATCCTACACTTCAAAGTCAATGACAGCTAATGAGGAACAGAGTGAGAATCTGAGGGATGTTCAATCGCATCAAAAATTTTAAATTCAATTTTTTCTCTATCAAATTCCATCGTCAAATTACCATTGTTAACATCAATCTTAGTATCCGTCGTACACATGAAAGGACTCTCTAAGAGTAGTGATGATGGGTTTGATGAATTTTCATCATGCATTTCCAAGACGTAGAAATCGACCAGGAAAATCAAATCATTAACTTGGACAAGGACATTCTCTATAATTCCTTCGGGATATACATGCATTCTATTAGCAAGTTGAATAAAAATTCCAGTTTTCTTTAGTGGTGCAAGATTCAAACAATTATAGATTGATTTCGGCATGACATTAATTGTTGCGCCTAAATCTAACATAGCACGCTTGACTTCTAATTGTCCTATTTTACATGGGATATTGAACATATGACAGACGTTCGTCACACGCTGCAAAATTTAAATAAAATAAACCTACTTCTGCAATAAAAATAACGTAGTGTAGATGAAGTAGGGTCGTCTCCTCGGGGAATTAAAAATGTTTTATTTTCAATTGTTTAATTTATAAATATTATAGAAGAGGGGATTTTTGAAGTAGGAAATAAAAATAAAATAACAAACTAAAAACTCTACGACTAAAAAATAAATTCAATAAAAATAAGTTTCCAGTCTATGATTGAAATTGAAAACTTGGGTAGTGGATTTGATCATCGATAAATATTTAATTTTATTGGTTTCTAAATAAATTAGTTATAATTACCGACACGCGCCTAATAACCAACTCTTCTTTAATTTCTCAACAGTCTAGATACGCCCGTCAACTGCTTCCCTAGTTAAACTAGAACCCTAGTGACGCCACAAGAATTTACTAGCCTAACCGCCTTGCAAACTAGAAGAGCCTAATTCAATTTAACAATTACCTATGCGAAATTGTTTAAAAATTGATTATGTGATTTCCTAATGGTGTTTGCCACTAATTACTACTTGAACAACATTAAAACGCAATTACGGACGTCTAATTTAGTTTAGCAATTAATCCTTAATTCAATTGAAATACCTGGCCATAATATCCAACCAAATAAAAGATTATAAATCAAAGAAATTAGAAACCACAAAAATACTTAAGAACCAAAAAAATATCATAAATCAAAACAAGTCTAATCTCCTAAATCCATACCAAGTTGTTTTTCACTCCTAGAATAGGAAGGTAAACTACTCGCTAATCATAGGAGGATGGACAAAGAAAGCAAAGATAAACATCGCCTGAGAATGATGTTGGTAGTGGTGAACTCAAAATCTTTTTGGAAGAATCTTTCTCCTTCTTGCCCTTGCACGGTTTGTCCCTATGACTGTTCTGCACGGTGTTCTCAGCCTTGGCGTGTAAAGTGGCAAAAGTGGCGCCTCCCCCTTCTTTCTTTCCTTTATATTTGCCCTAATTTTGTAACAATTGGGCTTTGGGCCTTTTAATTAATTCTTCAAGTCATTGGACCTTTTTGTTCTCTTTTCCCTCCAATTCTACCAATTTTATTATTTTTCTCCTACAAATCTTAAATAAATAATATATACCCAAATCAGGTAGAATCTAATCAAAATCAACCAAATATAACAAATAATATGAATATTTAACACATGCGACTTCTTGCTATCAAATCTCCCCATACCTAGATCATGTTTGCCCTCAAGCATAAATTCGAAATAAGCCAAAAGAAATCGCATGCAACTCAATATGACAAGGAAATCTAACACAACCAAACAACCGGAAATTCAACATATCAAACCAAGTTAACCTCACAGGATAAAGTGTATGCGCACATGCTCTCTGAAAGAAATAAGTGTGTATAATCAGCTAACGCTCAAGTAGGCACAAAAGATTATCCCATACGCTTGGATGAAAATCAAATCTCCCTTGCTTAAGATATTCGAATCTAACATCAAGAATCAAATGGAATTTTTTATAAAGGTTGTAACGGGGCTGATGGTTAGGGGTAGAAAAAAGGATATGCGAAGGTTAGAGTATGTCAGAAAAGAACACAATAAGAACAAGATGCTAGCACGTGAGAAATGGTTCGGCATAAACAATGAAACCCTTACTTTATTCACTACCCAAACTTCAATAACATAATTATATCAATAATACTTCATCAAGATGATATGTATATTTTTTCTTTTTGGGGCCTTTTTCTGTTTTCTTTTCTTCTTTTTTTTGGCATATTTTTAATATATATATATATATATATATATGCCTTTCACTACCTGTTCTCATTGCATAAGTCACTTCCAAATGCATTATTTATTTATACTCAAACTTTTTTTAAATTGGTGCCGAACACATTAAGGTGCATCATAACGTGAACCTAAAGTAACTCTTTCTAACATAGGGTTCAAATCGGAGAAGGTTTAATATCAAAAGAAGGGTATGAAGCTAAAAGGCGGTTTAATATAGAAGAAAAATTGTTTAAAACGTCTCAAAGGGGCTAACTAGAGGAAATATATTGTGTTGGGTGATAAAGAAATGTTCAATGGGTTACCTAATGCCCTTATCATTTTCAAAATGCAAGACTCGATAGTTGCAAGTTCAACATGCATAATCACTCAAGTTCTAGGTCATGTAATTGAACACTACAAATCACACAAGAAAGAATTTCCAAAGGTTTGATAATATGTAGCTTATTTTCTATTGTAAGCTTTTTGGAATATAGACTCGAATTCTCACAGGGTTCAAATGTCAACCTGGCTCAACATATTTCAAATCCAATGTCATCAATCATGTCAGACTAACCTATCACACAAACCACATTTGACTCACTTTAGAGAAATCTCAAAAACATGCGAAAGGATAGCGAACCAGGCATAAAAAGTAGCACAAAATGAAAAATTTGCATTACTCTCTCCCCACACCTAAAGCAAACATTGTCCTCAATGTAAAAAAGTAAAATAAAATAAGAGAGGAACTTCCCTGGAGTCTGTAGGATGGTGCGATTGCATGTTTTTGCTTTGGATTCCAATACCAAAATCGATGGCTCACTGAGGTCGGATAACCTGAGCAGGGAGGAAGAAAAAGAAAAGCAGCGGCTTTTTTTTTTTTTCAAAATTCTCCAAGAATTTTCCTACAAAATAAAGAATCCGAATCAAATAGGCGATGTTTAAAAAAAAATAAAACAAAAACTAAAGAAAAAAAAAAGCTAGAAAACTTGGGTTGCCTTCCAAGAAGCGCCTCTCTTTAACGTTTATGGCTAGACGCAGTTACCATGTTAGCCATTAGGTAGCACTACTTCAGACCTTCTTACCCACTTCAGTTTTTCTTTTTTTACTTCCATGTTTAAAACGATGATCACTCAAAAAAAATTTCTTTGCAAGATTTATATCATTATTTAAGTGAGCAGGCTCCAACTCCAGCTGATTCAAAGGGGGCTTCGATTTTATATTCAAATACATTTATCATGCAATCCCAAGACTTTTTGCATACCTTTGTCAATAACATTCACACTGCACAATGCATTAGATTTTTCAAGGTATTTTATAGAATCGGAAATATTAAATTGCACTTTCTCACCATCAAATTCCATAGAAAGTATACCTTGTTTCACATCAATTTTAGTTTGTGCGGTGCACATAGATGGTCTACCTAGTAAAATCGGTGCAGGATTTGGAGAATTATCATCGTGCATATCAAGCACATAAAAATCAACCGGAAAAATTAATTCGTTAACTTACACTAGGACATCTTCAATCATTCCTTCAGGGTAAGCATTTGTCCTATCGGCTAATTGAATAATAATTCCAGTTTCCTTTAAAGGTCCAATATTCAAATATTTGTAAATAGACTTAGGAATCACATTATTTGCAGCTCCTAAATCTAACATTGCTTGTTTAATCACCAACTTATTTTTTACAAGGAACCGAGAACATACCTGGATCTCTACATTTAGGAGGAAACTTACGTTGCAAAAGAACATATATGCTCTCACCAACAATAATGCATTTGTCTTCACGTAGTCTCTGCTTGTTTGCACAAAGATCCTTCAGAAATTTTGCATACTTCAGTACTTGCTTGATCGGATCCAGTAAGGGCAAGTTCAATTCCACCTTTCGAAACATCTCAATCATCTCTTTATTTTTGTCATTCTTCTTTGGTTTCGCCAACCTACAAGGAAATTGTGCAACATTAGTTTTAGTATTAGTAGGTGCATTGAAAGTTACCTTGTTCAATTTTTCAGTGGCGGCTTGCTCTATTTCTTTCTCAATGTCTTCCTCATTCTTGCTTTTTGGAACTTCAATCATTGATACTTCTGAATCTTTTCCATTTTGTATAACAATCGAGCTCAGATTCCTCGGATTGGCGTCGGATTGTGAGGGCAATCTGCCTTTTTCTCTTGACTTCATCTCGCACATCTCATTCGCTATTTGACTTACTTGTTCTTACAAGTTCCTTATGCTGTTCTGAGTTTTGTGTTGAAATTGCAATATGTTAGACGCCATAGTTTTCATCATATCCTCTAAGGAATTATTTGGAATCTTTTGAGGGGGTTGCGGAGGGTGGTTTGGTGCTGGGAATCCTCTCGAATTATCTCCAAAGTTAGCTTGTTGATTCCCACACTTTAAGTTCGGATGATCTTTCCATCTTGGATTGTAGGAATTCGAGTAGTGGTTGTATGCTCTTGGGATGAATCTTGCAGCACTGACATCTACGTCTTGATTCAAAGTAGGACAAATATCCATAGGATGTTCTGAACTTGTACAGATTCTGCAAGCCTTAACTTGTGCCTTCCCTACAATAAATTTTTGAACAAATGAAATCAGTTCAGTCAATTGTTGTTTAATAGAAATCACCTCGCTTGCTTCTTTAACTATTACTGTTTCTCTCGGTCCGACCTGTTGTGAGTTCATTGCCATATTGTTCAGTAAGTCCCACGCCTCTCTAGGAGTTTTGTTAATTAAGGCCCCTCCACTTGTTGCATCTATGATTCTCTTGTCGATAGAAGTCAAACCTTCATAGAAATATTGAATCCGTAACTGCACAACGATTTGATGATGGGTACATCGAATACGTAAAGCATTAAAGCGGTCCCAATATTCAAATAAAGACTCCCCTGTACGTTGTGTCATTCCGCATATCTCTTTCCTCATGATCGCAACTTGTGAAGCGGGAAAGTACTTTTCGAGAAATTTTCTCTTCATGTCAGTCCATGTAATGACGTTTCCGGAAGTTAGATTGAATAGCCAATCTTTTGCAGTGTCTTTCAGTGGAAATGTTAAAACACAAAACTTGATTTGATCTTCTGTTACTCCCTGTGGCTTCATACTTGTGCAGACGACATCAAATTCTTGAAGATGCTTATGTGGCTCTTCTCCTGATAACCCATGAAAAAAAGGCAACAAGTGTATTAGTCCTGATTTTAATTCAAAAATACTGTTACTGTCTACCGTCGGGTATGTTATGCAGAGATGCTGCTGAGTCAAGTTAGGAGCTGCCAACTCCCTTAGTGTCCTTAGATCCATCTCTTCTTCTAGCTCTAACTCGTCAGAACATCATATATACTATTGACATACAAGACGCAAGATTAGTTAAAAAAACTAATTATCAATATATTTTTTTAATCACACCAAATAGTCAACAACAAAATTCTATAAAATACATAAAATGCTCCCTCTGCTTTTTAATTCTTTTCTACAACCAATATACGTAATTAATTCTTGAAATTTATATTTTGTATGTTGAGCATTTTTTCTCTACATAAATTATATGTCTCATATGTTGTACCAATGTTATCTAAGTAAATATTAGGTTCTTTCGAAGAAAAGAACATCCCATTTGAGAAAAAATAAATGTAAAATGCAAAAATATTTATAGAGATAAAGTCACTCTAAAGCAGAAGAACATAGTTGTATGTGATGTTATTATATGACATTTTTTGGAAAATAATAATAATAATAATAATAATAATAATAATAATAATAATAATAATAATAATAATAATAATAATAATAAGAGTTTTTTAAAACAACGATTAAGAACAATGAGTCCAAATGCAGTGATACTTATTACAAAAACTGCCCTAAATCCTTCAAAAGCATCATTATTTTATGAAATTTCAAATCAAAATAAAATAAAAATAAAAATAAAAAATCTTACCATTTTGTAGAATTTGAAATCTAAGCAAATTATTGGAATTTATTGTGCCTTTCTCCGGCCTTCGAACTTGCCTCAAGAATACTGTAGAAATGAAATATTTACTAGTATTGAGTTGGTAAAAATGACAATAACAATCAATAAAATATTTGCTTTATTTTAGCAATCTCATTGATTTGAATTTTTTTGTTAAACATCCAGTGCATAGGAAAAAAACAAAAACTCAAGCATATCAAGAAACTATATCTAATCGATAAAATGAAGAGTATATCAATAAAACTTTGAGTGTATTGAAAAATGAAAGAGAAATAATTTTGATTTTCTTTGAACATCGAGTATATTAATAAAACATCGAGTGTATCGAAAACCTAGATCCAGTTGAATCCTAGCTTAAAAAACTGAATGAATAACCGTGTCAACAAGGAAAATGAGAGAATACATATAATAATATATTGATAAAAGAAACATCAATTTGGATTTAGATCCCACTCTCCAAATAATGGATTTAAATTGCGAGATCTCAGAATTCTCGACTACTCAATTATGTAGAGGGAAAAAAACTAGATTATATGACTTTGTTCTAAATTTTGATCAGAAATCCAAAATATCATCTAATCGAGAAGGAAATAAATGATTTTGAGTTTTTTTTCAAACCTCGAGTGTATCGAAAGAATCTAGAGTACTTAAAAAAAAGTAAATTAAATCTAATTGTACTTAAATCTAAATGAGTAAACAATATCGACAATATATCAAGAGAGAAAGAGAGAAGGAATATGAGAATAGAGACAACACCTTGATTTTAGATTTGACTCTTCAAATAATAGATGTAGAATGTGATATTTAAGACTTTTGCGCGGTTTGGTTTTATAACAAGAAACATGGATCTAGTTGAAACATATTGAAACCTAATTGAATAACAACAACAATATAATGTATCAAAGAAAAAAACAAAAACCAATCTAAAAATAGATTTTAAAAATAATTACTTTAAATTTATATCTGACTCTCCAAGATATAGATATAAAATTTGAAATATCCTAATACAAAGAGAAAAATAAAATAAAATAAAATAAAAACTTTATTTTAAATTATGACATACATTAAAAAAAAAATAAAATTATGGGACTAGAAAAGAGACAAATATATTCTTCAATAGTTTTAAACTTATAATCTAAGTTAGTGCTCCGAGATCCCGCTACCTCCATTTTACTGGTGCTATTTTTTTTTTATTTATCCTATTATAGTTTTAGTGTATTATATTATTATTCATTATATAGTTATTTATTACTAAAATTTGATAATTTAATACTTATAAGATATAATATATATGGCGGCGCCTACAGTGCTAAATGTAAAATTCAGCACTGTGCTGAATAGCACACCGTATGCTACAAGTAGCACACGGTGTTACCATAAAGAACACATAGTATACTTTAATATAATATAAATACAACACATGACTTGACAACATATGATATAGTTTCACATAACACATACAATATTTGATTTCAGCACATGACATACTCTCATACAGCACACGCTATAATTATGAACTAACAACACATACTTTTATTTCAAATACCATAAAGAACACATAGTATACTTTAATATAATATAAATACAACACATGACTTGACAACATATGATATAGTCTCACACAACACATACAATATTTGATTTCAGCACATGACATACTCTCATACAGCACACGCTATAATTATGAACTAACAACACATACTTTTATTTCAAATACCACATGTTGTATATAATAAAAACGTGTGATGTTTCTATATTTTATGTGTGCTAATTTTCCAAATTTAGCACCCTAACATATATATATGTGTAAATTTTCATGTACAGTACCCCGTGTTCGCCATTTTGTCGTCATGGTGGTATGGCGGTCCACAGGCGCTGTCCACAAAAAGGCGCTGTGACAACCTTGGTTTCAACACACTCTTTGCTGAGATCAATCGGGTTATGTGTGATGTGGACTACTACCACGTGTTGTCAGTTCATATTGTATTTGTATTATATTATATGTTGTGTAAACTATTATCATATATGTTAATTTATACCTTACATTTGTGATATATCATGTTGTATGGAATATTACCATACGTTGTTAGTTTATACCTTATGTGCTGATTATGGAATGATTAGAGTGTTGTGAAATGGAATGGACATCCATGAAAATAGAATAGACAAATATGTTGTACATACAGTTAACATGTGCTGTTTGTTTTATTAGCATGGATATGGTGCTGAAGAACTAATTTCAGCACCATGCTGAATACCTAAAATCTAATTATATATAATTATATTAATTAGATAATTTAATGATATAAATTAACATAATTAAGTTTTACTTATTCAGTTATGTGCTGAAATTATTTTCTTTAGCATTTGATCCCCTTCCTCATTTTTTATATGTGAGTTGTGTTACTATATCGCACAGATCATTTGTAATGTGTTGTGTGGACCACGATTAGGGTGTTGATTTGATCTTATAATTTGACCAAGTTAACAAACTAACTTGAAGTAATTAACAAATTATCATAAGGCAGTCAAGTTAGCACATTAATTTGAAACATATGCAAATGATATTTATTGTGTTATATAGAAATATATATTGCATGAGTTATATTTTGTACTGAAATCAACACATTGTGCTACATTCAATTATATTGTAACACCCCGGCCGGCTTCAACCGGAGTATTACCGCCATGCTACACTGGAAGACTCATTCATCCACAACGAGTCGTGGTGCTAAGACTAAAAGAATACCTAATACAAGAAAGAAAATAAAAATTTAAAACTAAAGCACACCGGCTTATCATCTAATTTAAATAAGGACCGAGTAAAAAACATAAGTCGAAAATTAGTTCAAAAGGTATTAATTTTTAAACATTAGTAGAAATTTCAAAAGTATCCTAGAAGATAAGGTAGTTCTAATTCTCCCGATAGATCATGTAACGTGGATGCATCTATTTAGGCATAACAGAAGCACCATCACCTACAAAAAGTTTGTAGAAAAGGGTCAACACGACGGTTGAATAAGTGCAATCAATCAAAAGTAAATCAATATGATATATGCCATGATTCACGAGTAAATACCACAAAATCATTTGAAGAAGATAATTCAAATGAATGTCACCTACCACATAAAGACAACACACACAAGTCTTTTAGCATCTCTTATATCTCATTTTCATTCTCAAATAATGGTGATAGACACATCACAAAGGAAACTTCACTAGGCCTTAATTAGGGTCGGCTCGACCCAATTTTCAATCTTATTACTTCGTATGACACGTCACATAATTATACATAACAAATATAGGGTCGCAACCTTCAAGAAAAGCTCCATAACAGATACTTGAGGATTTGTAACCCAAAGTAAACATAAGTCAACTTATTTGTTAGTTTGCGAGACAAACCTTCTAGTCTTCAATATAACATACCAAGAGGGGATTGTACACAATCCATTCCTCCATCACGGATGATGGTCTAAAGACCATTTCATCGTGAATGACGGACACCTCGGAATCACCTCAAAAGGGAACTCGCCATCTCGATCCCTAGGCCTAGCCCATTCGGCTTATAATTTGAGATTAGCTAGTTATCTTAAAATACCGGTATACCCTCACGTAAACTGCAAGACACAAAGGTGGAATGCTATGCCTTATCATCCTAAATAATTGGCGAGTTGATCGGACTCAACGGATAGTTCCAATTATCAATTTGACCCAATACTCAATATGCTATTAGACAAATTTTAAAAAGACTTTTGAACTCAAGATATTTCAATTTCCAACATTTAACCAACCAATCACTAAAAACATCGGCCAAATAAACATCTTTTGTAACATAAACGAAAGTTAAACAAGAGCTTTCAAGTTTGCTCATAAAACATTATTTTTCGTCCAACAACTTTCTCATTTAATAACCAAGAAAAAAAATAGTGCATTACAACCCAACAAGTTTGTTAATTTCACTTTATTTCACAAAATAAAGCTTTGAACAATATGCCCATTCAAAAGGCATAATCTCACTCCAAAATCATAGATTTGAAAATAATCACAATTTTTTTTTTCTTTCCAAAAACCATAAATTAAGTTAGGGCAATAACTAGGGTTTTAAACCCATTTCACAAATTCTACTGTTTTCAATTTAAAATACAATGATAATCTTCATATTAAGCCTAAACAACATTATAATCAACTTTCTAAATAGAAATTAGAAAAAACTAACAATTTAAAACAGGCAATTTGAAAATAATTTGAACAATATCAAGTCTAGAAAGTATAACATATTATTTCTTACTTACCTTAAGAAAAGAGACAAGAAAAAGAAATTGTTATAAAGAAG